TGTATCTCTTGTGAGAGCAAATCAGGGCTACACTTAGGAGTAGGAGGTACTCAATACATACTAGTTGAACAGGTAAAAAGAGGATAGGTGTGTGCCCTGATTTGTATCAACATTATTTCTCTTTGTTTAAATGTGAAAAGTTCCTTCTCTGGCATATAAGCACCAGGAGAGTAGGGACTGTGTCAGTTGTGGTTCCCTTGTGTACATATTACCTGGCACATAGTATTGCTAACCAGTTGTTACCTCTACTCCTAGGAATGCCTTGTGAGTGCTTCACTTTGAACTGTTGGAATTTTTTTACAGACATTGCTTTCTTCAACATTGGCCCTAGAGTAGGGTAAATGCGGGTTCTTATTGCATCTCAGTCACTAACTAGCAGTGTGATCTTGGGCAATTCACATAAAAGCTCTAGTTCTCATTTTCTGTATCTGCAAAACTGTTTTTAAATATGCTTTAGCACTAGAAGCCTTTTCCTCAAATAAAAATTTCAAAAGAGTCCCATATATAAAAAAGATAAAAGCAATAATGAAGTTCTCATTCTACTCAATTCTTCAGTGAAGAAAATGCCACTAAAAGTACCTTCTTAGATCAGGGTATGATTTGAAAAACACTAAACTAGCTGACCCACAAAAGTTGAGTCTAGCAATAACATTCCATGATTTATCCATTTAATAAATACTTATTAAATGTCTACTCTGTACCTGGTACCGAACTAGGCACTGCACATTCAGCAATAAACAAAGCAGATGGGCTTCCTGAGATATTTATGCCAACATGTGGTATTCAGCCCATTATTAAATATTCACTTAAAAGAACAGAAAAAAGATAAAAACACCACCTCTGGTCTTTTTATAGAGTATAGAAAGCAAGACATTTTACCAAATTCACAAATAGCTGAATGTATTAATAGCTAAATTTCAGAAATGCATATCTCATTTTCCCTAACCAAAATTTCAGTGTATTATTTGGGAATTTTTCAATTCATACTGTTTTCTTCCAATCATTTTTATGCTAATTTCTTAATAACACATTTACATTAATATTATTTATTGGTAGCTAAAATCTAAGTTTGTCCCTGTCATTTCCTAATTGTTTTTCTTTTTTTTTTTTGAGAAAGAGTCTCACTCTGTCACCCAGGCTGGAGTTTAATAGTGCAATCTCGGCTCACTGCAACTTCCGCCTTCCAGGTTAAAGTGATTCTCCTGCCTCAGCCTTCCGAGTAGCTGGAATTACAGGCACCTGCCACCATGTCCAGCTAATTTCTGTATCTTTGTAGAAACGGAGTTCTGTCATGTTGGCCAGGCTGGTTTTGAACTCCTGACCTCAGATGATCCACCCATCTCGGCCTCCCAAAGTGCTGAGATTACAGGTATGAGCCACCATGCCCAGCCCTTATTTATTTTTTACTTGTCCTATCTTTTAGCATTTTAGGATCTTTTAGCCAACTGATTTTTGATCCTTCGCAACTTCATACTTACAATATGAATTTGACAGTGAAATCTAAAAGGCACAAACCATTTTTCATCAATATTTGCTTCACCATTTATTTCATTCAACAAATATTTGAGAAGTACCTACTATGTGCAAGGCATTCTGCTATAAAGTGGTACAAAAGTTCTAGAATTCTATTCGCATTTCCTTCCCACTGTATTCTTTACTTTTCTTTCGCTTTAAAAGCTTAAAGTGCATAGCAAGAATAAGTACCTGATTTCCTTAGGGTTCCCTCAATCTGTAATGCTCTTCCTCATACTCTTCATACATACCACATTCATTCATTCATTCATTCATCAAAAAGTATATTGCTAGGCACTGAACAGGTGCTAATGAAGAAAAATATATGGTTCCTTTCCTTAGGGAATGACGAGAAGAATAAAGATAGTGATGACATTTCAGAAGGAAAATCTACAAGACTCAGTATCATCAGAAGCATCATAAAAAGGAATAAAGATGATTCTCAGACTTGCTAAAAGACTAAGTACATGATGATGCCTTTGACACACAGGAATTTGAAAGGCTTGTCTGGAATGTTTAAAACTGGTTTTAGAATGTTAAATGTGTAATTCCCTCTGGATAGTCTAGTTGAGTTGCCCAAACAGAAATTATTAAATAGAAGTACTCATTAGTATCTGAGTAACCATTATGTGGCAGGATCCAAGGACACTAAGTAAAATACAATCCCCGAATTCAAGGAACTTAAGACTTAGATGATAGAGAATACAAGTAAACAGACACTTAAAAGAGAAACTCAGGGAACAGACTGGAGGTGTAAGCACCAGATGGAACATGAAGGACTGGAGACTCGATTTCTCGAGGCAATGCGGAGCCACAGGTTTTAAACAGAGAATGCTTGATTACATTTGCATTTTAGAAAAAAACACTCTAGCTTCAAGGAAGATAATGGGTTGGAGGAGGCAAAAATGAAAGACAAAGTGAACAATTAAGATGCTGTTGCAGAAATCTGAGCAAGATTTGACAGATTCCAAGACCTACAAAGATTAAGGGAAGAGATACGTAATAGTAATATTTGAGAACCTGACTTTCCTAGACAACACTCAAAGTACAATGCTAATTCCTGAACTATTTTTAACCATAATAATAGAATAATGCGCCGGGCTCGGTGGCTCAAGCCTGTAATCCCAGCACTTTGGGAGGCCGAGACGGGCAGATCACGAGGTCAGGAGATCGAGACCATCCTGGCTAACACGGTGAAACCTCGTCTCTATTAAGAAATACAAAAAACTAGCCGGGCGAGGTGGCGGGCACCTGTAGTCCCAGCTACTCGGGAGGCTGAGGCAGGAGAATGGCGTGAACCTGGGAGGCGGAGCTTGCAGTGAGCTGAGATCCGGCCACTGCACTCCAGCCTGGGTGACAGAGCGAGACTCCGTCTCAAAAAAAAAAAAAAAAAAAAATAGAATAATGCTAGCATCAGGCAAGTATAAAGCATACCTGATGGCCGAGCACTATGCTATCTCATCTCCTATTCTATATCAAATTGTGGGAACCACAGTTGAGGAATGTATCTTTTTTTTCCTACAACCACTTGAATTTCACATGCTGTGGGAAATACATAACATAATTTAAATATGCAGCATACTCTAAAAAAAAGCAAAATTGAACAGATCCAAGCAGCAAAGTTCCTCTAGGATTATGCAATCACTTCATTAGCCAAGAAGCTTACAATCTATAGATCCTATGTATTGTCAGGAGAGAAAGCTTTCCATAAATCTCTAATTACAGGGCCCTGAATTGATAAGGGGAGACAATGTGTCCAGACTACCCTGTGTCACCAGCTCTAAGTCACAGATGAGACAATTCTTACAAATAAGACTGAAGCTGAAGGTTTCTGGGAAAGCCCCTTCCCTGCTTCTTCCTTTCTTCCTCCTGCCTGGAATGTCGACATAAAGCTGGGGCTATAGCAGCCCTGTCGTAGCCCTGAGATAATAAGCATGAGGACAAAGTATATGCTAAGGATGACAGAGTACAAGAAAAGAAGGCTGAGACCTGGTTGTTCCTTTGTTGCTGCTGTACCAGCAGACCTTTTGTTAAGGGAGAATAATAAATTCCTCTGTGGTTAAGTAACTTTAGGCTAAACATAGTCATAATTTATACACTCTGAATCCCTTATAGAATAAAGCCTAGGCCACTTAACATTGCATAAGACGCTCCTCACCATCAGCTCCATTTAACTATCCAACCTCATTTCATTCTGTTCTCTGTCCCATACTTTCCATTCCAATAATTCTAAGTCTTGTCAGATGAGCACACCCCAATGAGCTATTTTTACCTTTCTACCTGTCATTCCCTTGACTCTCCCTTATCACTCCATTTCTTCACCAAATTAACTCTTTGTCAGCATTCCAGATTTCCTGGCTCTACTGGCTGAGAAAGATGCCCTGCCTTCTTCTTTTCACATTACCCCATGCACCAGTCAGTACAATGAGTGTGCTATATTACAGTTATTTATTTATATATTTGTCTTCCCAATTACACTACTGATCCCTCAAAAAGAAAAAGGTATCTTAGTTCTTTTGGCATTCTTAGATCCTGGCACAGTACTGGGTCAACTGGGGATGCTTAGTGAATGTTTGCTGAATGAATTAGATTTACATAAAACATGATTTCTTAATTAATAAAAGTGATTATACAATACATACTGCTAAATGACCCCTTTAACATCAAAAACTCATTCTCATCCATAAAGTTGTGCTAAAAATGTCCAGGCTGTAGTGCAGTGCTGCAATCATAGCTAACTGTGGCCCTGAACTCCTGGGCTCAAACAATCCTCCCGCCTCAGTTTCCCAAGTAGCTAGGACTACAAGTCCAAGCCATCACACCTGGCTAATTTTTTCTCTTTTGGTAGAGAAAGGGTCTCACTATGTTGCTCAGACTGGCTTTGAACTCCTAGGCTCCTTTACCCTCGATGCTCTGGCCTCCCTAAGGGTTGAGATTACAGGTGTGATCTACCACATCCAGTCTCATTTCTGCTTTTAAGCAGAAAAGCTGCAAAGAGCTGTAAGTCCTAAAGACACTTGACAAAGCCATCCTCATCTGCCTTAAAGGATTAATCTCACTTACAGTGGGAAGTCAGAAATGAAAACCAGGCTGGGCGTGGTGGCTCACGTCTGTAATCCCAGCATTTGGAGGCCAAGGCAGGTGGATCACGTGAGGTCAGGAGTTCGAGACCAGACTGACCAACATGGATAAACCCATCTCTACTAAAAATACAAAATTAGCCGGGCGTGGTGACACATGACTGTAATCCCAGATACTCAGGGGACTGAAGCAGGAGAATCACTTGAACCCAGAAGGCGGAGGTTGTAGTGAGCTGAGATCACACCATTGCACTCCAGTCGGGCCAACAAGAGCAAAACCCCGTCTCAAAAAAAAGAAAAGAAAAAGAAATGAAAACTAAACAGATGATCAAAGAATAAATTTTGTTATACGTTATTAGCAAAACTTGTCAAAACAAGGGTAAGCAAAGAAATAAAATCTCTTCATACCTGTCACACTGCTGCATTATGGAAATTTCTTTGATTATTTCCTGAAGATCTGATTCAACAGGCACTTGTTTAATTGCGACAACTTGACCAGATTCCTTGTGTATTGCTTTAAATACACTTCCATAAGACCTAAAAGAAACCAAGACATTATTTTTTTCCTATAAAACATCGTAACTATAAGGTTAAAAGTCTATGAGTTTTCTGTGGATTGTCTTTTTTAGTTTAAAACACTATTTAAAAATTTAAAAATCAAAATAAACAAGTAACAATTTTAAAAGTTAATGAATTATATCTTAGCTTTATTGCTTCAACTACAGACTTAAAATAATCAAGTTAATATATAATGAGTAGCTATTTTTCTTATGAATGAAAGAAACAGACTTACGTTTTGTCAACTCAAACAAATGCAGCATTAGGAAGACATAAATGGAAATTAAAAGAATGAAATGTACATTAAAAATAGCCAAAGTCTCAAATTAGGGGAAAAGGCTGATCTCAAGGAAAATGACCCCCGGAATATCAAAAAGTCACACGTCTGTTCAGAGTACCTGAACAGTTAAAACCCTCAGCTGGGGACCACATTAACATCAAAGTTAGAGAAGCAAGGAATCTGTAGCCATCTGCTTCTACCTGATTTAGAGATCCAAGGTGTCTTTTTTAAAAGTCCCTTTCACTACCTTTTCCTCAAGAGAAAAACTACACGCTCACAGGTAAATAAAATGAGGAATAGGGTCTAAGTCACTTGCCCAAAACCTGTCTCTGCTACAACTACTGAAACTTTGCCAACTGAATATTCACGTGTTTTTAAAAAAACCAAAGAAGAAAGAAGCCATTTGTAGCTTAGTAAGAATTTTAAAACGAGGTTAAACACTACTATGTACTGAGTTCTTACTATAAACCAGGTCCTGTGCTAGGTGTTTTATATGTATTACGAAATTCAACCCTCACAACCATAAGGAAAAACACTATTATTGTCATTAAAAGATAAGAAACAGACTAGTAGGGCCAGAATTCAAACACATTCTGACTCCAAAAATCATGTTTTTCTCACCATATTTTTCTACAGAAGACAAGGAAAAGCAAGCCAATGGAAGACACTGAGTGTTTCCTAATATTAGAAATCTATACAGAAGCCCTTCCAGATTTATAATCTTTTAAAATAAGTGAAAAAGAGAGAAACAAGTGATAAAGCGACTACTTCAATAAAATATATTTTATCCTCTCCTCTGTTTCTTTGGGCTCTCTGAAGTAATTTAATTTGGTTTGGTACCCAAAGTCACAGTGGGCTGGGTGTGGGGGAATGTATGTGCGTGTATCTCCCCTTGAAAGCCGTATGTGTGTATATGTTCCTTCAAAAGCTAACACAGAATTCAGTGCTAGATCATCTACTGTCAATTAGGCAACACCATCACTCCTTTCTAAGGACTCCTCAGCATTACAAAAGAGAAGCTACAATCCCCATTTCCCAGAATCCCTTTCCCTGAACGGTTCCTCATTAAAAGTCTGCCAGTGGGAAGAACATGCATGTGTGAATGCAAAAAGGAGAAACCATTTTTTTCCAGATATAGTTGTAGCAGATGGACTGACAGATATAAAGTGCACAACGGCTTCCTGCTGAGCTTCCAACAGCCACCAGTGCTGCAGACTGAGGTAGCTGGTGGAAGTTTCTCAATACTGCAGGATTCCAGCAGATTCCCAGAGAGCTTTTGAGAAACACCCACTTCAGTGCTTCAGGCTGAGATCTTCAATGCTGACTTCGACCTTCAACCTTCGGCAACAGTTTTCATGAGCTTTGCATCCCTGGCCCCTCCACAATTCATTTGAGCTCCTAACTTTATTACTAAACTCTTTATATCTAGAGTACATAGAGTAGCTTCTCTTTCCTGACTATACCTTGATAGCAATATAGTTTATGGTAGAAGAAGCGGTTCCAAGGGAAAGAATCTTAAAGATGAGAATCTTGAATTAGTTCTTTCTTAGATGTTGATATGGTTTGGCTGTGTTCCCACCCAAATCTCGTCTTGTAGCTCCCATAATTCCCACGTGTTGTGGTAGGGACTCAGTGGGAGATCACTGAATCATGGGGACAGATCTTTCCCATGCTGTTCTCATGACAGTGAATGGGTCTCATGAGGAGATCTGATGGTTTTAAAAATGGGAGTTTGTCTGCACAAGCTCTCTCTTTGCCCACTGCCATCCGTGTATGTACGATGTGACCTGATCTTCCTTGCCTTCCGTCGTGATTGTGAGGCCTCCCTAGCCACGTGGAACTGTAAGTCGATTAAACTTCTTTCTTTCGTAAATTGCCCAGTCCCGGGTATGTCTTTACCAGACTAATACAGATGTGTAGATAGTAATGATTTCAATACAAATAACAAATAGAACACTGATGGTCTATGGCATTCAGTGGCAAACAGTTACTTAAATTATCACCCTTAGTTGCCTGGAGTCTAAGCAAAGCTTTAAAAGACCAAGTAGCTATATCAATACAATGTATGGTGAAAATAAAGTATAAGGACTATAGAATGGGCTGCTGCCTCTGCCTGTACTGGAAAAGTTATAGAACAAACACAGCAAGCTAAAGGCTTAAATGTCCAGCTCAAGACTAAGAGAACCAGAAAACTTCTGAATTTCTTAATTCTTACAGAAACAGGGTTGAGATTTCTGAAAAACAAACTCTAAGTATAGTCTTACTGGAAGCTGAATTACATTGCAAGTTGAATTCACATCAGCACCAGGTCTGTTATGTTAAAGTTAAGGCATGTAACAGTAAAGAGAAGTACCTAGAGACCTGGTATTAGGACATTTAGATAGATTCTCATTAATCTGAGTACCTTGAATCCCCAAATCCTATCAAGCCTCCCTTGCTACCAAAAGCAACTCTGCCCTCCTGTCTGAGAAAATTAACCTTACAATGCCTGAAGACTCCACCTCCTGAAGCAGTCACTTTTCAGGAGAATGGAGTGGTCCTCCAGACCACTCTACCACCACTTCTCATTGCTTCCAGACCCAAAGTTATACTCAACTCCCATAGATACCAGGGAGACAAGTATAAAATTTAACCCAAGCAGTTAGTATTCACACTAAAAAAGTTGCAAGATTTTGCCAATTTTTATCAGAACCCTAAAAAATATGTGTGAGAGCGAATTCTAAGATATCCAGAGAGGAAGAAATGTACTGATATGGATGAAAGACCAGAAATTCCAGACTCAGCATGTTAGCTCAAACAGTTGGGGGTGTCCCTAACAGTTGCTCAGCCAGTTAACTGAAACCTGGACTCAACAGTGGCCCATATTAAGTGAGATGCTAAGTGAGCCTCAGTACACACCAAAGGAAGCATATCAAAGACTCAAGGAAATGGGATACTAGATAGATATATATTATATGTGCCATGCTCACAAACTCCCTAACTATGTTTTCAAAAAGCGTCCAGAGGATACCATCATCAATCAAAGCTCTATTAGTGCAGAGGAAAGATGACAAATATGCCAACAGTGAAACTGGCTCCTTAAGTTTAATAGATAACAGGATCCCAACACAAGAGAAGTGGCAACATCTATTCACCTGAGACAAGGTGGGAACAGTTACCATAATGAGTAACAAAGCAAGGCTGAATTACAGTTTTCTTTTATTATACATCTGGGTATCAGTATTAAAGTTACACTAGCTTCATTTTTTTAAAAAAAAGCTATAATTAACTGTCCTTTAAACAGTGTATAAAACATAATTGGAACCTTTCTGGAGGGGAGGAGGTGAAATACACACAACATAAAATTCACTATTTTAAAGTGTACTATTCAATGGCATTTAGTGGGTTCACAGTGCTGTGTAAACGTTATCTGTATGTTCCAAAATATATAGAATCTGCTTTCTGTCTCTATAGATTTATCTATTCTAGATACTTCTATAAATGAAATCATACAATATGTGACCTTTTATATCTGGCTTCTTCCTTCACTTAGCATAATATTTTGTAGGTCCAACTACACTGTAACATGTACCAGTACTTCACTCCTTTTCATGGCTAAAAGGTCACTTGTACAGACATATCACATTTTGTTTATTCATCTGGGATAGCAGATGGACATTTGGGTTGTTTCCACATTTTGGCTATTGTAAATAATATGCTGTGAGTTGGTATCTTTATAATTAACAGTTATTTAATCATTTCTCTATCACTGGCTATATCTTCCTTCTTATTCTAAATCTGCTGTATTTTTGCTCTATTTTCTTTAGTCAACACTGTAAGAGGTTTAACTATTTTACTGATCTCTTCGAAAGCTTATGTATGTATAAACATATATGTATTTATCTTTTTTTTTTTTTTTTGAGACAGAGTCACGCTCTGTCACCCAGGCTGGAGTGCAGTGGCACAATCTTGACTCACTGCAACCTCCACCTCCTGGGTTCAAGCAATTCTCCTGTCTCAGCCTTCCAAGTAGCTGGGATTACAGGCACATGCCATCACGCTCGGCTAATTTTTGCATTTTTAGTAGAGATGGGGTTTCACCATATTGGTCAAGCTGGTCTCAAACTCCAGACCTCAAGTGATCCACCCACCTCGGCCTCCCAAAATGCTGGGATTACAGCGCATAAGCCACTGCGCTGGGTTCATATTTTTCATTTTTATTTTTTTTTCTATCTCATTAATTTCAGCTTTTTCTTTAATTCAATCTTCAGTTTCTTTCAGTATGTTTCATAATTTTTCTAAGTTCTTTAAGCACTAAGTTTATTTTTTGCCTGTCTTCTTTAGTAATGAATGAATTTAGAACTAAAACTTTTCTCTTAATTAGTTTTACTGTATTCCATAGATACTGGCACAATGTGTTCTCCTTTTCAGTGTTTTGTAGATAATTTATAATATCCTCTTCAATCAACAAGTTACTTCAGATTATGTTTCCTAATTTCCAGTTGGTGTGGATTTTGTCATATTATAACTACTTATTTCTAATTTAGTGAGTATAATCAGTGATATGGTTTGCATATTTGTCCTCTCCAAAACTCATTTTGAAATGTAATCCCCAATGTTGGAGGTGGAATCTGTTAGGAGACGTTTGGGTCATAGGGGCAGTTTCCTCATGGCTTGTTGGTGTCCTTGAGATGGTAAGTGAGTTCTCACAGGACGTGCTTGTTTAAAACGGTGTGACAGGCTGGGTGCAGTGGCTCACGCCTGTCATCCCAACACTGTGGAAGGCCGAGGTGGGCAGATCACCTGAGGTCAGGAGTTCGAGACCAGCCTGGCCAATATTGTGAAACCTCATCTCTACTGAAAATATGAAAATTAGCTGGGCGTGGTGGCAGGCGCCTATAATCCCAACTACTCAGGAGGTTGAGGCAAGAGAATCCCTTGAACCCGGGAGGACATTGCAGTGAGCCAAGATCGTGCCATTGCACTCCAGGCTGGATGACGAGAGAGAAACTCTGTCTCAAAAAAATTTAAAAATAAAAAAAATAAAACTCTGGCACCTCCCCTGTCCTATCTTGCTCCTGCTCTTACCATGTGAGACATCTGCTCCCCCTCTGCCTTCTTCCATGACTATAACCTTCCAGAAGCCCTCACCAGAAGCAGATGCTGGCACCGTGCTTTTTGTAGTGTCTGCAGAACTGTGAGCCAATTAAGTTTTTCTTTATAAATTACCCAGTCTCAGGTATTTTTCTTATAACAACACATGAATAGCTTAATACAATCAGAAAATGTGACCAGTAAAAATCTCTTATTTTTAAGAATTTGTAACTTTTCTTTTATCAATGGTCCTTGAACATACACCAAAAAAGCAGGTCCGCAAGAAATATATATGTATAGTTATATAGACATACAGGTACTTTATATATTTTTACTTTATATATATTTACATTTCTATAAAATCAAGTTTATTCATCATAATGTTAACTCCCTCTATGTCCTTTCTCTTTTTTCTATTATATCTGTCCAATTCTAAAAGAGATACACTGAAATCTCCCATACAATTATACTTTTATTAGATGCCTCTGACATCACTAATAGCTTTTCTGTCATAAATTTAGCTGCCATGTTGTCTGATATGTTTTGTTATAAATTGTCTTTCATATCGCTACCTAATATACCTCTTTATTTAGTTGAAATCTTTTAAACTTTAATGTATCTAATATAAAAATTGCTATTACTTTTTTTTTATTTGTACATTCATCTCTTACATAATATTTTTTATAAGAAATATCCTTATAAGCTATGCACAGTGGCCCACATCTATAATCCTAACAATTTGGGAGGCCAAGGAAGGAGGATCACTTGAGGCCAGGAATTGAAGACCAGCCTGGGTAACATAGCAAGATCCCATCTCTATTAATAATAAATAAATAGCCTTATATTTCCATTATTTGTTTTACTTGTATCTCCTATAAACAAAATATAGGTAGGTTTCACATGTTCATTTACTCTAACAGTTTGTCTTTTAATGGGAGAATTAACATTTACTGAAAAATACACTTGATTTTATTCCTTCCATCATGTTTAGCTTTTTTTTTCTTTTTCTTTTTTTTGAGATGGAGCTTCGCTTGTGTTGCCCAGGCTGGAGTGCAATGACGTGATCTCAGCTCACCGCAACCTTTACCTTCCAGGTTCAAGTGATTCTCCTGCCTCAGCTTCCCGAGTAGCTAGGATTACAGGCGCCTGCTACCACGCCCAGCTAATTTTGTATTTTTAGTAGAGATGGGGTTTTTCCATGTTGGTCAGGCTGGTCTCAAACTCCCGACCTCAAGTGATCCACCCATTTTAGCCTCCCAAAGTGCTGGGATTACAGGTGTGAGCCACCGTGCCTGGCCTAGCTTATTATTTTACCTTTTTATTTTCTCTATTTCCTTGTCCTTGTTCTTGCTGATCTATAAGCTTCTTTTAATTCTGTTTTGTACCTTTCTTATTTTAAAAATTCTCCTATACTTTGCCATTCCATTAAACGCTCCCTACCTTTCTCTCTGCTCGAACCGAGACATGTTTCTCTACTATTATTTTGAAACCATGTCAACTATTCTTCTGCCTATACAAACTGTTTTCCTCACTAAGATATTCTTGTAATATCAACTACTTACCTTTTCCAAAATAAAATGAGCCCCAAGATCTAAAAGGATGGCCTTATGTTCGTTTGCCTAACAAAGTCAAAACCTTCAAGCATATTAATAAGAATGCCATAAGGGATGAACTAACAAATCTCTTGAAAATCATTTCACAGCACATTTCCTGCTTTTTGCTTATATATATAGCCTACTTTCTCTGAAAAAACACTATTACCAGATTTAGCACAAACTAATCTTTAAAATTCAGTATCACCTGCCAAATTTAATTACTACTAAATACTATTCAATTCATACAAATATATTCTAGTTGAAAGATTAATATCATACAATATTTTTTAAATTGTTCTGAAATTATTTAGACGCTTTCATATTTTTTGTACTTACCCTTCTCCAAGCTTCTCTAATACATCAAAAACTTCTTCAGGCTGTTTAGTCAAACTGTCTTCACTCAGCTTTTTTAGTTTACTGATTTAAAAAAGAAAGAAGAAAGAAAATATTTTCTTTAAAGACCTTTTACAAAATTTTTAATTTTTAAAATTTACAAAGTTTTTAATTTTATTTTAATATATTCAGAAGACTATAACAATATAAAAACATATATAGTAAACTCTCTCCTTTCAAGCCCTGTTCCTCATGTGCCCAGCAACACCTCCAAAAATAATCACTTTTATTAGTTTTTTGTGAAACCTTTATGCAAATATGAATACATATTCTTAATTCCTCCCCTTTGAATATATAAGAAGCACATACACACCCTTCTTTATAAATATTGTTACGTTGTGTTAGAGAGCTTTCCATACAGGTTAACCATCCATAATCCAAAAATCTGAAATCCAAAATGCTCCAAGATCTGAAATTTTTGGAGCACCAACATGATACTGACAATGGAAAATTCCACACCTGCCCTCATGTAATGAGTCACAGTCAAACTGTAAGCACATAACACAATTTAAGGAAAAAAGATCCTCCTCAGCCCGCTTCGGCTCCGACATATCTTTTCCATACATGCACAGATTCTCCCACCCAAGCACATCCAAAGAAGGGTAATAAAATGGCACAGGTACAGGCCAGATGCACCAATGATAGGTTCCCCACGATGCCGCACATGGAGCCAAGACTGTGCATTACTCACTGTGGGTTTTTTTCCTTATTCTCTGCTTTGTGGCACAAAGACAATGTTGAAAATCTGAGTAAGTGACAGAAAAACAGGAAGCATTTATGCTTATCTCTAGCACAAAAAGTCAAGCTGCTGGATAAACTGGACAACAGTGTGGGAAATGTCTTACAAAAGAGCATGGTGTTGGAATGACCACCATAGACAACCTGAAGAAACAGAAGGATAAATTGTTGAAGTTCTACGCTGAAGTGTCAATGAACAGAAGTTAATGAAAAATTTTTTTTTACTGCAGAAAACCAAAATGAAGATCTCAAATGTATACTGAAAGAGTAAATCTGTCAGCATGGCAGAGAAACATACTACTTAATGGTATGGTGCTCATGAAACAAGCAAAGATATATCACGATGAACTGAAAATTGAAGGGAACTGTGAATATTCAACAGGCTGATTGCAGAAATTTAAGAAAAGACACAACATTAAATTTTTAAAGATTTGTGGTGATAAAGCAACTGCTGATCATGAAAAAGCAGAAAAATTCATTGACAAGTTTGCCAAGGCCATCACTGATGAAAATCTGACACCAGAACAAGTCTATAATGCTAATGAAACATCACAGTTTGGTGTTAGTTCCCCAGAAAGACTCTGACTACAGCCCCTACCGGATAAGAATGCCATGGACAGAGTAACTGTGCTGGGAGGTGCTAACACAGAAGGCACACTAAGTGTAAACCTGCTATGTGGGAAAGACTGGGTTCATTACTAGACTAACAAAAAGGCATGGGTCACCACGGACATCTTTTCTGATCGGTTTCACAAACATTTTGTAGCAGTGGTTCGGGTTTGCTGCAGGGAAGCTGGACTGGATGATGACTACAAGATTTTGTTATTCCTTGACAACTGTTCTGCTCATCCTCCCACTGAAAAATCTCATTAAAAATAATGTTTATTCCATGTACTTTCCCCCAAATGTGACTTCATTAATTCAGCAAGTGAGTAGGGTATCCTCAGATCAATAAAGAATAAATATAAAAACACTTTCTTGAACAGCCTACCTGCAGCAGTGAACAGAAATATGAGCGTGTAAGGTTTTCAAAAGCAGTTTAGCATTTAGAATATTGTATATGCGGCCGGGCGCGGTGGCTCAAGCCTGTAATCCCAGCACTTTGGGAGGCCGAGACGGGCGGATCACGAGGTCAGGAGATCGAGACCATCCTGGGTAACACAGTGAAACCCCGTCTCTACTAAAAATACAAAAACTTAGCCGGGCGAGGTGGCAGGCGCCTGTAGTCCCAGCTACTCGGGAGGCTGAGGCAGGAGAATGGCGTAAACCCGGGAGGCGGAGCTTGCAGTGAGCTGAGATCCGGCCACTGCACTCCAGCCTGGGTGACAGAGCGAGACTCCGTCTCAAAAAAAAAAAAAAAAAAAAGAATATTGTATATGCTATTGTCAATGACTGGAACACAGTATCTAAAGACACAGTTGTGCATACCTGACACAATCTCTAGCCTGCAACTATGTTCAGTAATGATGATGAACAAGGCAGTGACTTTGAAGGATTCTGTATGTCAAGATAATAAAAAAAAAAATAGGCCAGGCGCGGTGGCTCATGACTGTAATCCCAGCATTTTGGGAGGCCAAGACTGGTGGATCACCAGGAGATCGAGACCATCCTGGCTAAAATGGTGAAACCCCGTCTCTCCTAAAAATACAAAAAATAAGCCGGGCGTGGTGGCGGGCGCCTGTAGTGCCAGCTACTTGGGAGGCTGAGGCAGGAGAATGGCGGGAACCCGGGAGACAGAGCCTGCAGTGAGCCAAGATTGCGCCTCTGCACTCCAGCCTGGGCAACACAGCAAGACTCCGTCTCAAAAAAAAAAATTAATTAAAAATTTTAAAAACAATAATAAATAAAAATAAAAAGATGTTTGACTTTCTTACATATGCAAAAAAAAAATACCTTCAGAGTCTGTCAGTAAGTTGGAAGAAATGGATATCAAATAAGTTTTTAACATTGATAGTGAGTCTACAGTTGTTCATTCATTGACCAATGGTAAAATAGCAGAAATGGGCGGGGCGCGGTGGCTCATGCCTGTATTCCAGCACTTTGGGAGGCCAAGGGAGGCGTATCGCTTGAGCTCAGGAGTTCAAGACCAGCCTGGGCAAACAGCGAAACCCTGTCTCTATTAAGAAATACCAAACGTTTGGTGGGCATGGTGGCACATGCCTGTGGTCCCAGCTACTTGGGAGACTGAGCCTGGGAGGTGGAGGTTGCAGTGAGCTGAGATCACGCCATGGCACTACAGCCTGGGTGGCAGAGTTAGACCCTATCTCAAAAAAAGAAAAAAGAAATAGCAGAAATGGTTCTGAATCAAGGTTATGGTAGTAGTAGTAGTAACAATGAAGAAGATGTTAACATTGCAGAAAAAGTGCCAGAAGATGACATGGTGTGATGGGGTTATTTTAGGACTAAAGTAGAATGCATTCTTAACAGAACAAGAAATCACGTCAGTTTATAACATCAAAGAGAGACTTCCTTTTTTTTTTTTGAGACAGAGTCTCGCTCTGTCGCCCAGGCTGGAGTACAGTGGCCAGATCTCAGCTCACTGCAAGCTCCGCCTCCCGGGTTCACGCCATTCTCCTGCCTCAGCCTCCCGAGTAGCTGGGACTACAGGCGCCTGCCACCTCGCCCAGCTAGTTTTTTTGTATTTTTAGGAGAGACGGGGTTTCACCATGTTAGCCAGGATAGTCTCGATCTCCTGACCTCGTGATCCGCCCATCTTGGCCTCCCAAAGTGCTGGGATTACAGGCTTGAGCCACCGCGCCCAGCAAAGAGAGACTTCTAAGACAAAAGCCATTGTTAATGAGGCAGACGATTCTAGAGGAAACATTTTAAAAAGCCATCCAGCAGAATGTTTCCTTATCCCTAGCGGACCTATTTCCTGGTCCCTCAGCTGCTTCTGATGTTTCTTCTCACCTTAAAAAACAAAACAAAACAAAACAAAAACGCACACAGTGTATAGTAGTAACCTTTCAATCAAAAATCAGCATCAGAGGTGAAAACTAAAAGCCTGCCGTTGTTTGTTGTTCCTGCTGTTTAAAAGCTGATACAGGTATTCTGGTAATGCTACTGTGCTGCTTAATTACCCTGATCATATTTATTTTCCACTGTATTAATGTTATGCCACGTTTTTTACAGGTAAGTACTTATGCATGAGCAAGTATAAGAAAATGATTGCTTATCAGTAGCATGTAAATTCAGAGTCAGAAATGATGGTGATGCCAAACAACCCCACAGACTGTCCACATGGGTGGCTGAGATAGTGACACCTTTGCTTTCTGATGGTTCAATGTATGCAAACTTTGTTTCATGCAGAAAATTACTTAAAATATTGTCTAACATTACCCACAGGCTATGTGTATAATGCAGATACAAAACAAATTTCATGTTTGGCCTTGGGTCCCAGCCCCAAGATATCTCATCATGTATATGCAAATACTTCAAAATACAAAAAAAAAAAAAAAAAAAATTCAGATATCTGAAACACTTCTGGTCCCAAGCATCTCAGATAAGAGATTCTAAACCTGTATAAAGCATCACTGTTCTTTTTTACAGCTGCATTCTATTCAATTACAGAGATATAGCACATCTTACTTGCCCAGTCTTTTGCTTATGGACATCCAGGTTCTCTTTTGATATGATAAACAATGCTGCGATGAGTAACCTTATGTATAAGTCAATTAATACATGTGCTAGAATATATGTGGAATAAATTCCCAGAAATGAAACTGAGAATACAGACACATTCATACACACATCAATATAAAAGTAGATATACTGACAAGTATATAATCACATAACATAATTTTAATAATGTGGTATAACATAAGATCACTATTATAATAACTATATGGTAATTATTAAAATTATTGATTACATTATGGTACATTTTACCTATTATACTTGTATGTTCTATAAATATATATACACATATCCTGATTTCAGCAAGTTGTCCTTCATAGAGTTTGTACCAATTTATTCTCCAACAAGCAATATATTAGAGCCCTTCTTTCCCACAGTTTCACCAACAGGGTATTTAATGAAATTATTTGGATTTTAGCCAATCTGTGATGAAAACTTATTAGCTCAGTGTAGACTTAACTTGTATTATTATGAGTGAAGTTGACCATCTTTTCAATATGATTAAGAAACTAAAATCACCTACTTGTTCTTTAATCATTTTTCCACTGGGTTTTCAGTCCTTTTCTTATCTGTATACAAAGGAAACTAGCCCTTTTTTTGAGATTAAAAACATTTTCATTTTCATTTTCATTTTGACTTCACTTATTTTT